AACTGAAACCAGTCTCACTCGCAACGACCCGGTTTTCCAGCTCAAAACCCATTTAAGATCCGAAACCCGAAACCCGGAAACCCGAAAACCTTATTCGGTTTACATCTCTGAGAAAATCCCAAGTGAAGACAAAGTTTCACGAATACGAGGAAGTTTCTTCATTAAGGTAGGTGTCCTCTTTCTCTCTCTTTTTTTTTGAAGGTTCATTGAGTAAAATAAATCTTCAGTCTTCAGAAACTCACCCCCTACCCCCCACCCCCCACCCCCCAAGAAGTTGTGTCTTTTATGTGGCTCATAATCTATTCCAATTGGCTATAGCATTAAATTAGATTCCTCATTACAAAACATTTATTCAAGATTTTCTTTTTAATGCTTTCACAAACCATCTAAACAAATAAAGATTTCTTTTTTTTTTTTAATTTTTTTTTCTTCAGACAATCTACCAGTCTTCATCCGAGGTCCTAAACAACCATTTCTCTTCTGGGTTTTTTTCAATTTTTTTTAATCCGCATAAAGATCAACCTTTTTAGTGTATTATTGTGCGTGTTTAGTGTGTGTGTTTAGATTAATCTGGAAGGTGAACAATTTTTCTTGGTTCTTGTTTTCTCTCAGGAAAAACTGATGAGGGTGCTTTTGTGATTAATTTCTTGGGATTTACGCTGCTCTGAACACAAGCCTAAATCTGCCGCAGCTTCTTTGTCTGTGTGGTTAATTTTCTTTTCTTGGAAGGTAACGGTAATTTTTTTTCCCTTTTTTTTTTACATACACTAGTGGTCAAAGGTTTTTTGTGTTTTATAAATTTAAAATAAGAGGATATATTATAATTATATCATGGTAATTATCACCCCTTGTCTGAATATTATAAATTTTTTAACTCCATTTGAGGTCCCCCCCCCTCTCCCTTCCTCTTCCACATTTTGTAGTCACGTGAGTGCCACGTGATCCAAGAATGATCACCTGGTGTTGTTGTCACGTGAGTGAAGAACAACAACTATGGGGTCCAGAAATTTTTTTTCCAGGACTAAGATTATGTTCTTGCCTCTATGTTTTTTACCCCTTGTGTGCTTTTCGATTTTTTTTTTTCGCAGAAAAATCGTTTCTTTATGTGTCGTAATCGCGGGGGGCGGGCCCTGTTGTATGATTTTAGTTCTTGCGATAATGTATAGAATTTAGCTGAAATAGGGTGTTTGTACTTAGCATTATGACCGTTGGATTCACTATCCAGTCTCGTCGAATCTAAATGAAGAAAAAACCGATGAGAATTTCACATCGAAGATGATCGTATAAGTTGATATAACCACCTACCTATTTTCGACTTAATTGACCAATCAATGGATTGACTGTTTGCGAAAACCGACCCATCCACGATATCCACGTGTGTGTCTAAAATGAGATAATTGATGATCAAACTTTTGCGGCTCCATATGTAATCTTTGTTTCATTTAATTTATATCCTGTAAAAAATTCGAATGCATTTGTTTGCTTTACGGTTTTCTATGACCACCTGTCCGATATTTCCACTCTCGTGTCACACGTGTAGCACATGTACACGTTAGTGCGTGGTGCTGTTTCCATTTACGAATCCTCGTTATCTTTTTTCCTTCCCAAAATAGCAAAATCTTTCCCGGAATCAAATCCTCTCATTTTCGGTAATCGGTGACCCATGAAATCTCGAACGGGTTCCACCCTGTTTGGCTGTTGTGAATGGGAAACAAGTATCGTTTTCAGACATGCCTTATTTGATCTCCCATGACACTACTTTTCTTGTCCTATAATGCATGGAGTTTCGGCTGTCGATATCTTATTAGCAAATATATATATATATATATATATATATATATATATATATATATATATATATATATATATATTTAATTACGGAACGGCGTTATATTTGCTGTATGTAATAAGAAACTAGTCGAAACCAGGTTGTTAAGTGGAGTAATGCCCATGAATCATTTGGATTTATATCATTAGTTTGGTAGCATGGGAAGTTGTTATATTCTTCTAGGGAATAACATTTGCCTTGTGTAGTAGAATATTCAGAATAATTGTCTTCACCTACCTTTTTTTTTTATATTCAGTTGTTTATTACTCCTTCAATTACGCGTTCGCAATTATAATAATGCACCTCAACGTCACCATTCATGCTGCAAAATATCGTCTTTTCTTGCAAATAAGAAAGCATTTCGACAACTTTCGATCTGTCTTCGTCAACTAGTCTACGGCAATTCTCTGTCTTTGTTAGATAAAATCATCAAGAATTTTTTTTTTCTGTTTCTTGATTCAGATGGATTCGGTTAAACGTTCTGCTTTGACCCCAACCAAGAGTCGACTGGCCAGCACATTCGCCAAGGTTTTCCATGCTCGATCCGTCAAAGGGATATCTCCAGACTGTGGAATCAAAAAGACAAAATCCCATGGAAAGACGAAGAAAGATCGCACCGAAATCCCTTCTCCCGGAAACGAAGACGACAAGGAGCTGCAAAATTGGGCAGTTAGAGAAGCTTTTCTCTCGAAACTCTTTGCCGGAATCTCGACTATCAAATCCGCGTACGCCCAATTGCAATTCGCTCAATCTCCCTACGACTCTGACGGGATTCAAGCCGCAGATCAGACGGTTGTATCCGAGCTGACAAATTTGTCCGAATTAAAACAGTGCTACTTAAAGAAGCAGCTGGACGACGAGAAATCTCCGGAGACGACTCTCCTCTTGTCTGAAATTCAAGAACAGAGTAGCCTTCTCAAAACTTACGAGATAACGACCAAGAAGTTGGATTCTCAACTCATGCTTAAGGATTCCGAAATCACTTTTCTTAAGGAGAAGTTGGCAGAAGCCGACAAGGAGAACAAAACCCTCGGAAAAAAGCTAAACGCAAGCGGGCCGTTATTTATGCCCGATAATATTCAGTTATTATCCGATTTAAAGCCCAGCCATTTTAATGCTTATCTACGAACGGCATTAAAATCAATCCGCAGCTTCGTTAAGTTGATGATTAGCGAAATGGAATCTGCTGACTGGGATTTGGATGCTGCTGCGAGTGCGATCGAGCCAGGTGTCTCTTTTTGGAAACCGAATCATAAATGCTTCGCGTTCGAATCGTTCGTGTGCAAACACATGTTCGACGGCTTCAATTACCCGAACGAGGGGCAAGAAGAAAAAACCCGCGCCCTATTCTTCGAGACATTCACGGAGATGACGAAATACGCGGGGCCCGCAAGTGGTTACCTAGCCAAGAAACCTAAATCGGAGTTTGCGAGATTTTGCCGCGAGAAGTACTCAAGGCTCGTGCACCCGAAGATGGAGGAATCCATTTTTGGTAATTTGAATCAACGAGATTTGTTGGGGTCCGGTGATTTTTTTCCGGAGACTTCCTTCTTCTCTGCATTTAGTGAGATGGCGAAACGTGTGTGGGTCCTACGCTGCATGGCGTTGTCATTCGACAGGGAGCTGTCTGTGTATCAAGTGAAGAAAGGAAGTCGATTTTCGGAAGTTTACATGGAGAGTTTGAGTGACGAGGCTTTCTTGTTTTCCGATAAGGACGCACCGGAGAACGATCCTCGAGTGGCTTTCACGGTGGTGCCGGGGTTTAGGGTCGGTGAGATTATCATTCAGTGTCAGGTTTATTTATGCTGACTATAATAAAATACATATGGGCTACAATTTGAACTTGGTTCTTGATTTAGTGTTTTTTATTTTATTTTTATTTAATTTATTTTATGGAGAAGAAATGTTGATGTAGTGCAGATAGAACATGGGGGAGATTTTCTTGCTGGATTGCTTTTATGCTTTTTCAAGGGCTCTCCCCAATTTTGTTAATACATTGATACTAACTGTACATTGTAGCTTTCTGTTTTAAATTTTATATTTTATTTTATTTTATTTTTTTTTTATTTTTTTATTTTTTTATTTTTATTTTTTTTTTATTATATTATATTTTGTATTTGTTCTGCTATGTATTTGTTCTGCTATGTATTTGTAGTTTGTGAGAATAGGTAGGTTTTTCACACCTACTGTGTGCTTTTCTTGGCTTATGTAGGTCAAATATGTTAAATTTGAGTTCTCCTAATGCTACCTTAAATTGTTGGACACTTGTAATGATCTTACCGGTGGATTATTGAACGACTAAAATGTGGTTTTGTAGATGCTACATCCGGTGAAATAATCGTTTGATTTTAAACCATAAATCTACACATAATAACATATGTGTGCTTAGTGGGTGGTTATTTGTTGGATAACCTTAGGACAATAATCAGGTGTAAATGAATCTAGTTGAGTCCCAATGAATGATAGTCAAGTTTGTTTGTTTGATTTTTTTTTTTTTTTTTTTTTAATTGAAAACAAAATATTTGTTCGAATTTGGTTTGATAGATAAATGACAACACAAACCGGGTTTAATAGATTGACTCAAACTTAGGTCCGCTCACAATCAACTAGACTCGACTCAAATAAAATCAGGTCGAACTATCAGACTACATGCATGCCCTACTCAATTTACAATCTTATTGACGGTCAACCACACTGTCATAGGCGCACGAGCGGGCCCGGCCCCCGGGTAAAAACTGAGGTTTTACCATGGAATTAAAATGCTGGATTGGATCGTATCGAACTATTTCGGTATACCAATTTTTTTGATACCGCAATGATTTTGAATTTTATATTACGGATACTTCGGTAATTATAGTGATTCACGGGATTTATTACGGTTGCCCTATAAAACCCACCCAGTCGCCCCTAGTACTAGTCCATTGTATGGTGTAAGTTTGGAACAAAATTTTTGAATTCCACCAATTCTAATCAAAATATTTGAGACTTCGGAATAATATTTTTCATTTAGATTCTGAAAATTTCAATTTAATTTTCCAAATTTGTTTGGAACATAACTACAATACATTTTAGATTTCGATCCAATTTTAATTTTTGAAAATATTTCAGAAAACTCCTCTTTCTCTCTTTTTTTTTTTTTTTTTTTTTTTTTAACTGAAAGTTACATTTTACACATTACCATTATTATATTTTTGTAGTATAGGCTACTAAAAAATGAAAATTCTGAATTTAGCTGGTTCGCATTCGAAAACTTCCGATTTGGGAACAAGTTTTTCATTTCAATTTCCATAATTGCATTTTCAATTTTTTCAAAAAAAATCGAAACGGAATTGGATTTAATTTTCACTCGGAAAGAAATCAGATGTTTTCCAAAAGTTTTAATTTATATTCAAACCGTCCAATTTCCATCCATAGTCTATGGTAATGACCAACATAATCTAATTCTTATAAGTTCATCAAATACAAAAACTAGGAGAGAATTGAACTATAGAATAAGAAGTATGGTAATTGACATGTAGTACTTGCATTCAACGAGAGCACCACGTTTACAATATTCTTATTATTGTTAAATTTTTTTTAAAATAAGTTTTCGACGCTAAATTGGTTGTATTTCTTGGGATATAGATAGTACATAGTTGTGCCTAGGGGCAGAAATCGGAAAGGAATTTCCACATTTCGTTGATTCCGATCTCCAATTTTTTTTCGATTTTCAATTTTTCTCAATTTTTTTCCAGTTCTTTTTTTTTTTCGAATAGAATTGAAATACATACTAGATTCTAAAGAATTTCGATTTCCAAAAGTATTTTCACCATTAGTAGTGCCATTGAACTTTGAAGTCAAAATCCAGGCATTTAATAGCATTACCAACACTCCTAATTCTTGATTTACAGAGGACTCTATTTTTTTGAGGACCCTATTTACTAATAAAAAGAAAAGAATAATTATTTTACATTGGGTATATATAATTCAGTCAGTGACCATTTCCAGGACTCGGAACAGACCCCAAACTGCGACCATCTACACGAACAAACCGCTTCTCCGCCATGACATGATCTGCATTGATAACCGAGCCTCTCGTAATTAGTGAGCTCGTAACTAAATCACTTGCCCTACCCTTCTCCACTACAACGAGCTTTCTAGCTTCCGATGCCTCCGATAGAAAGACGATCCAAACAAGAATAAGAGCCACCGAGAAAGTGCTCAAACGAACCATTTTAATTTTTTTTCTCAAGTGAAAGAGTAGTTATAAATAAATGGGTAAAAGAAAATATAAATTCTTGAAAGATGTATGTTAATAAATTGGTGTTGCAAAATATGGTTATATATAGATAGATAGATGGATGCACAAGTTGATTTGTATAAGCCAACAACTTTGAACATATTAAGTGTGATGAATATTATGCTTCATATGTAGAAGAAGTATGCCGCCAGCCTATGTTTCTAAGAAAGTGCCTCCAATTATTTGTGGGCGTGTTCAATTCACCTGGAATTGAGGTCCCCCCACCCCCCACCACACGCACCAAATGCATAAGGGCATTATCGTTCGATTTTGTAGATGTTATACCCGCTGAAATACACCGAATAATTCTATATTATTGATCTATATATAATTACAGGCACAATACTCATATGTATATCGGTATATGTACTTAGCTGATAGTTATTTGTATAGATCTATACTATAAAATCACCAGATGTATTTAATCGGGCGTAGCATCTCACGGAAGTATATAGTCAAGAATCATTTGACTTCATTGTTTGCACGCAAAAAACAAGTTACATAGGTATGAGCACTTGTGACAACGAGTTTATTATTCTCTATTGCAACAAATGAAATTTCCTTATGTTATTATTCTTTTTTAATTTTATTATTTATTAATTTTTTTTTTCATTTTTATGTAATTCTATTGATATAGACATAATATTTTTGATGAAATGGATATATATTGGGGACCTAAGTAAAAAAGAACAAGTACATAGTTATTGAAAGGGTAATTTGCATCCGCCCCTGAACTTTGGTCTTTTCGCAAGCACACCCAAACATTTAACTTTTTGGCACATACAACCCCCCCCCCCCCCCCTATCACTTTTTTCCATTAGTAGTGCATCAATTTAAGGGGTAGAAAATTACATAGAAATAGATAAAGAAAGAAAAAATTAACTTGTGGGTTACGAAAGGTTTTTTAATTAGTTTCTCAATTTTACGTTACATCTTCACAAATTGAAATATAAAATTTGAATTGTGTACATATTACAAAAAATAACAGACATTAAACCAAAAATTAAATTGGATGAAAAGGGTGCATATTTCAAAGTAATAATTATAAAAAATAAATAAATAACATTTGAGATGTGGTTGCTAAAATACCTAAGTTGGAGGAGATAGGTTGATGCAATGCAAATGTGTATTTTCCACCCAAAACCAACGGACCGTTATCGGAAAAATTGATGGAGGGGGTGTATATGCCAAAAGAATAAACGTTTGGGGTGTGATTGCCAAAAGATCAAAGTTCAAGGGAGGTGAATGCAAATTGCCAAAAGATCAAAGTTCAAGGGAGGTGAATGCAAATTACCCGTTATTGAAAAATGGCAAGAAAGTTTGAATACAAGCCTGTCAACGGGGACAGGAAATCGAATAAGACCAAGTCGAAGAAAATACGAGAACAAAGTTGGTTGAGGATTCTCGACACGAACAAAGAGTCGAGTATACATGACAACCAACTAAAGAAGACAAGAAGAAGGTAGGCAGAAAATAGAAGTCAATAATTGTGGTAAATAAGAAGAAAACAATATAGCACCAGCTGTTATTAAAGATGAAAAAGCTCTAAAGATAACAAAATCGATTGACTTTCCACGAGACTAACACCGATAATTTCGTAAAGTAGCAGACAATTCATTCATGCATCACGAGACCTGTCAATCTGTCGTCGTCCAAGGATACTATTGGGAGAATGATTTTAGTCCAGAATTAAGGTTCCTGTAATAAAACAAGCAGGAGTTAGTTGTGGCGTTAAATCACAAAACAAGTAGCGTCTGGCACGATTAGGTTTAATCTCGATAGTTCGTAAATCGCAGTTCCGGAAAATTACATAAACAGAAAAGACCGATCTTAAGGAAATCAGGCAAGTAGCTATCATCCAGCCTTCGTAGATAAAGGCCAGGACACAAGTACTGGACTCAAACGAAAAGTCGTTTGTCGAATAAATTATCTTAAAAAGAAATTTCTATTTCTTTAATCATCTGCATTCGAATACGAGAAGCTTACTCTATTACGACTGTATATGACCATGAAACTCAAGTTGATTCACTCAAGTGCAATCATCCAGCATATCTAACCGACCGAGAGAGAATCACCGTTTATTAGCCGATCAAAAAGCTCGTAAGAATCGGAACGGTTGTTCTTGCAGACCAAAGAAGTTAACAGTCTCCATATACATCTATCGGTTGGATTTCTTTTCACCAAACTAAACAAACACCCCCATACTTCTTCATTCTTCCCTTCCAACAAATCATCGATATATTTGCTTATGCTAGACGAATGACGAGCATATCCCTTAAAAATCATCTCGTCTAAAACACTCGCTGCTTCCTTGAACTGCTTCAAATCGCAAAAACCTTCGAGCATTGTCCTGTACGTCACCGCATCGGGGGCGCATTTTCGTCGTGGCATATCTTGTAATAAATCGTTAGCTTCTTCCACTTTTCTCTCCCTGCACAGCGCACCAATAATCACGTTGTAACTAATCACATCCGGTTTTAGCCCCTCTTTCTCCATCTCGCTCAGAGCCGCGAAAGCTGAATCGAATTCGTTCTCCTGACAAAAACCGTGAATCATCGCATTGTACGTTACTGTATCCGGCTTACACCCGTTTCTTCTCATTTCCTCTAGAAACCCAGAAGCTTCCCCCTTTCGACCGGCCTTAAAAGACGCACTAATCAAGGTGGAATAAACTGCAGGATCCAATTCGATCTTCTTTCTCAGCATTTCGTCCTTTAACTTTATCGCCTTACTCAAGTGACCACCTTTACAAAGCCCTTTAATTAACGCCACATAGATACGCGCGTTAGGCTTGATCTTGAAATCCATCTCCATCCTTTTCTTCAAACCGAAAGCCATCTCTAACTCCGAATTCACGCAAAGCCCATTGATCAAAGTCCCGAATGTCACAGGGTTAGGCTCAACCCCTCTCCTGCGCATTTCATCAAACACGTACCATGCTCTCTCCAGATCAGACATCACACAGCACGCGTTGATCATAATGTTGTACGTACAAGCATCAGGGGCCGCGTACTTCTCAATCCCAGAAATCACTTCCACCATCTTGTCAAACTCCCGACACCGGAGAAGAATGTTCAAGAGCGTATTGACCGATCTGATCGTCCTATGGCATCGAAAAGTGGGAATTTCGTCGAACACCTGGAGTGCTTTCTGGGGCAAGCGTGCTCGGCCGTAGAACGTGATAATGTTGCAGAAAATTATCTCCTCGGGGGTGATTCGGGTGTCGTGTTTCAACTTATCGACGATGGTTTCCATTTGGGAGAACATTTTGGCTCTGCCGAGCTTGGAGATGATGAGGTCGTAGGAGAGGAGAGAGTAACGGAAGGGTTTGGCTTTCGGGTCCGGGTTCGGGTTCGGGTTCGGATTCTGGGCACCGGATTCGGGGTTGAGGAAGAGGTGGAGGGCTAGTTTCGGGTCCTTTTGGAGGCGGAGGAGGGAGTTGAGTCTGAATGGCGACACTTTTTTCAGTTTCTGCATTGTGGAGTTCAACGGAGGAGAACACAGTTTGGGAATTTTCGGTTTAATTCAGTTTTGCACCCTTAAAATATATCATTTCACCACTTAACGCCCTCAAAGTATATCATTTTAGCACTTTGCACCCTTAAAAGATAATAAATCATAAATCAATCACATTGCACCAAAAATATGTCTTAATGAATTATTTGTTTGGTATGTTTTTTTTTATAAAGAAAAATTCGAATAATTTATGAGAAAATGGTTTAATGGTTGGGGAAAAATAAATACTATTGTAAAGATGAAAATACCCCAGTAAAGACACTCGTACGAAAGTATTTCTCGTTGTGCAAAGTATTAAAATATTATTTTTTTTCACCATTCAACTATATTTTTTCACCATATTGCATGAAACGAAAAACAATCAACTTCTTTTACAAGTTATAATAAAAGACATATTTATCCAATAATCTTGTGAATTTGTTTTATGAGAATTTTATTATTGGAATTATATTTCATCACTCAAAGAAAATTTTCATTTGGAAATATTATTAAAAGATGAAATTATTCTAATTAATCTTAAAATATGAACTGTGGTGCAATATAATGTGAATGTGCCAAAATTTCGGTTTGTTTGTCACCATAGAGTTGGTTTTTCTTTTCAACCACTTGAACCGAACCGAACTAATAACCTTAATAGACGTCGTTTTGCATCAATATTACATGTAAAAGAATGTTTATTTGATTTCAAATTTTTCTTTCACTAAAATATATACTTACCAAATTACTACACTTTATACTTCACATTATAAGGAAAAATAAATATAGAACTATATATAAACTTCCAACAAAGATGTAATATTTTAAATAACTATTCCTTTTTGAACAAAACATAAAAATGCTTCCTTAGAAGATAGCAAGTTTATTTTGGGGTCTTTATACTCGTTTACATTATGCCTAGACGAAAGGTTGGAGAAATTCAGGTGCAGACAGACAATTAGGCAAAGGTGGCGATTTTCAAATCACGCAAATTTTCTTATTTGCAGAATAAAGACTTGATAGTCCATATTCAAAGACTCTTACAAAAAGATTGGGAATAACAGAGATATTCAACTTCTTCACATATATAGAAAAGCGAGTGTGATATATATTTGACCATCTTGTAGTTGTAACCCTGGCTCTTGATTAGAATAACAGAGTACTTTGGTACGAGAACCCTCCAGCAGCCATCGAGCTCCTATTCTTCGGTGGTCGTTCTGGTGTTATTTACTCTCGAATGATTGTTTTCTAATTTGTTTTTCTTTTGTTCGGAAAAAAAAAGAGAGAGAGACATGTCCTAACAATAGAGGAGCTAGTCATTTTGGATGATAGTGAATTTAAGAAATTAAAAAAAAAAAAACGACGAAAAAATCGTAATACAACAGTGGTTCATCGTGCAACAAGGAAGGGTCGTATCGCCTATCGAATACAATCCACCCACAAATAATATCTTCACCAATACTGCACTATTGACAAAGCAAAAGCTACACCCGACATCCATCAGGAGTTTAATATATTACAAGGGTTATATGTACAAGTATAGATAATATTTTAAAATAGGGGCGGACCCAGTAAGAGAACGGGGGTGGGCCCGCCCCTGCTTAGAAAAATATATATATATATTTACTTCTTCCTTCTCTTTTTCTTACTTCTATTCCAAAAACCCCCTTTTTATATAGGTGAAAAAATGTAACATTTTAGGACACATTTAATGGATAATATTATAATAGCCCCCATAAATTATTTTTTAAGTTTCAAATTAAATAAGAGTAAGTGGGTTAAAAAATCAAAAACAAAAACAAGGTTCCCTTTCATTGAAATACCAACTACACATTCACCCAGATAGAGACAAGAAAAAAATGAATGAACACAGTATATATTATAAGCTTTGTAATTTCCAATTGGACCTTTAAATTTGTTAAACTCCAAGTTTTGTACCATTGCTTTGTTCTCTGTATCTGGACTTAAACCTAGCTAGCTATGTGTGTGCATGTATGTCTCTTTCTTGCCATGCAAGTTTTGTCATTTTGCCTGTTTGCTGTACGGGTATTGTGGTTTTCACATGTCATCAGCTGCCAGCTGAGTTTTGGATTTCTTAAACCTAGCTTTCTTTATTTATTTTTTTTATTTTTTTGTGTTTACATGCATACGAGGTGTTCCTAATCTATATACGTTAATTCTTTGCCAGTAGATAGATATATGCATGCATGCAGATATATTTCTTAATTCTTAGATAGTACGTAGTGTTTTTTTGTCCTCTTTCAGTCATTTTCGAGATGGCGTTTTGTGTATATATATATATATATATATGTAGCTCTGAACTTGCCCTATATTCACGAGCTAGGCCTCATACATAGAAAATCTGGATTTGCTTGGCTGCATGCTTTTAGATGGATTCAAAGTCACATGATATATATAATCAGGCCCGTTCCTCAGAATTCGGGGGCCCTAGGCGAGATTAGAAGAACAACTCCAAACGGGGGCCCCCTATCTATTCTTCCAAAATAAACTCAGTTAAAAAAAACTATACAAACCCAAAAATAAATTAAAAAAAAAAAAGTTTAAACTCATCGATATAATGCATTTTATCAACGATGACATAAATATAAATTCACCACCTGTTTTTAAGAGACTAATGGACATAGAATAAAACAATAAGCATAAAAAACATAAGAGAAATATTTCATATTCAAATAATATATAGCTCCGACAACTTAAACTATCAATCTATAAGTACACTAATGATCATTGAAAAATCACTCTTCTTGCTTTCTGAGTTGCAAAAGTACTAATCAAACTTGTGAAATCAATTTTTTCTGCCAAATCTTTTTCAATAGATAACATAGCCAACCCATTTAATCTTTCTTGACTCATTGTTGATCGGAGGTAAGACTTAATCAATTTCAACTTTGAGAAGCTTTTTTCCGCAGAGGCTACTGTAACTGGTATAGTAAGTAGTATTCTGTAAGAAACCCAGGCATTCGGAAAACTACCATCCATCGCTTTCAAGTAATTCAACACTTCAATTGCCGTTTCTATTTCTTTCGGCAAAATTTCTCTCAATACTCTTAGTTCGGAAAAAAGATCTTCCCCATCAATATCTGCTTCTGCATCTTGTTTTAAAAATAATTCTAACTTAACACAAGAAGCTTTCAAACCTTCATCGACTGTTTCTGTACTTATACTCCAACTTTGCTGTCTCATTACCATTTTCATCCTCGTCCAGTACTTCTTCGACTGTTTCTGTATTTTCATCTTGGCGTTTGTTACCAAAAAACTTATTAAGATCTCTTTGAGATTGATCAACCTTCTCTTTTTCTTGCTTCTTCTTCTTTTTTTCACACCCCGAAGGATATTTTCTAGGGACCATGATGACAACAAAAATATCCTGTATCCAAATAAAGAATATATAAAGTCACAAACAAAATTTATTTTGAAAGATTACATACGTGTGTGTATATGACAGTGTGAGGGTGATTATTGATTAGTTATTAGTTAATTGGTAAAAGTCTTGACAAGTGACCAATATAAAATGTTGTTAATCAATATTTATTATATTATCTTTGTATTTACTGGAAAAAAAATCAATAGAACATTAATTAAAAACTCCTAAATATTACACAATTCTCCAATTTCATCATAAAAAATGACATGGTGATTGGTGAATAAAAAGTTAATAGCAAACTAGCAATCCACAGATTCGGTGATTTATGCAGAATGGACTCTATAGTAACTAGAAACAAGAAAAAATAGATAATTTCACTAAAAAACAAAATGAAAAGAGAATAATAAAATATTACCTGGAAGAAAATTTATGTTGTTTCAAATATAATGACATATATATTATTTTAATAATTAAAATAAATTCGGACATATGGTAGATTCTTCCACCACCGCTTAAGTGATATTACTATAAATTGAAAGTGCATGGATACTCATCACAATATATTTATCATAATATATTTAACCTCACCACTTAATTAGTCGTACTCATGCATGATATATGATATGGACTCCTTCAACGAGTGGATCGAGCTCGAAAAAAATGACCTCGACGAACTTGTTACCGCTTATTCTTTCTCGAACGATAATAATAATAGTAATAATTCCGACGACGAGCGGCTGAAGCGACTAGTGGAAAAGGGGATCAACCACTTTGAAGAGTACTGCAAAAAGAGAGGCGAAATAATAATGGATCAGAATGATATTTATGATGCAACGTCGTTCATGTGTCCAGTTTGGGGCAACTCTTTCGGGAACGCCTTTTTGTGGTTTGGCGGGTGCAGGCCTTCTCTCTTCATTAGACTTGTTTACTCTGTCGGTGGATCCGAATTCGACCAACATCTCAGTGATCAGTTGCACACCCGGCGGGGCGGTGACGGAATTATTACAAGGGGGAACTTGGCCGATATTTCCGGTCAACAGCTCCATATGGTCAACGCTTTGCATTGCCGCACTATGAAGGAGGAACATAAAATCTCCTCCAAGATGGCCACTTTACAGGCACATACATACATAATTAATTTCTTCAATTATATTTAGTATTTAGTTTTCCCCTTTTTTAATTTTTTTTTAAAATTATTATTATTACTTTGTAAGCACGAGCAAAAACAACGAGCCCTCGTCATTTGAAATCCTTTCCCATTTACGACCTTTTGACGTTATTAAGCTACGCTTAATGACTTATATATAATTAATTAGTAGTCATATATGTATTTGAGCGCGTGTTGTGACATTTGCATGCATGCAGGAGCAAATAGCGGACAAGCCGCTAGCGGTGATTGCGAAGAATGCGGAACCAGTGGGAGAATGGAGCGAGGAGGTAGAGCGGGCCATGAAGGCTCATTCCGTCTCGTTGGGCGGAATTCTGGCGGAAGCCGACCGCCTGAGGCTGAGCACGTTCAAGGAGCTGATGGCCATTCTCACACCACCGCAGGCCGTCGATCTTCTCATCGCCACCAAAAAGCTTCATATTTCTATGCGCGAGTGGGGCAAGACTAGGGATCGCCGCCTGCACCTCCGAACAATAACAACTCCTACTCCATGAAGATTACGTTGTCGCTCTTGTGTCTCTATTTATAATTATAAATATAAATACATACATGTATTTATATGTATATATATATACATATATATTATGTAGCTAGCTAGCTACTTATGTATATGGTTGACCTTTGTTTTAGTTTGAACTCTACGTACTTGTAATAAAATGTATGGTATTGTATGTTATAAAGTTGAATTTTCTACACAGTTATTTCTTCTTTTATTTTGAAATTAGGGGAACTCTTTTCATATTTTAATTGCACACTTGTATTGTTATTTTTTTTTCAAATTCAAACCTTATTATATTATTGAAATAAAAAAAAAAATCATTCATTGCACCCTTTTCAATATGTTTTGACATTTAAAAAGTTCAATTGAAGTTAACATGCAAAAGATAGCACAGTATTCAAAAACGTTGTAATATAATATCCATCGTATTAAGGAATCACCTATCGAAGTTCTCGGAAAATTAGATGATACACTTGGTTATTTACATTGAACGAATTTGGACCATAGATCAACACATGATTACACACATCTATTATTTTAGTATTTAATATTTATCACGAAACTATATTATTAAAGGCATTATTGGATTCAATAATTTGGAAAGAAGAAGATTTACCTATACTCAGGTTTTTCTTTCCTTTTTTCGCTCTATTCATAAAATAAAAATAAAAAATAAAAAAATCAGTTTTTTCACTTATTTGTTTCCTAATAGGTGTAACCGTGTAAGGAATAAATTACAACCACCTCACCGAGGTAAAATTTAATTAACACAAAAATCCCTTATGTAATTATGGAAACATTAGGGATTTATTCGTAAATAAATCTTACCCAAGGGGTGCAGTTGTAATTTACCAAACAACTTTCCTATTAAAACAATTCCCCTCCCCAACACCACCTCTCTCTATATATATACCAATATCCTACAAAAAAAAAAATATTAATTCATAAACTCCGCCTGCAATTTTATTTCTTCAAATTCCTTTCCTAAATCAAAAAAAAAATCACGAAATCACAAAAACCTTCAATCCCCCAAAAATCATGAGAACTCTGCATTCATCGGCGATGCAAGGGTTCCGGTGCGGCGACATCGTGGAAATCGCCAGCACGGAGGAAGGGTTTGTCGGCTCGTACTACGAGGCGATGGTTTTGGCGCCGCAATTGAGGGCGAACCGCGGCTACATCGTCCAGTACAGGACTCTGATTGCAGACGATCTGTCCGGCCTGCCGTTGAAGGAGGTGGCCCCCCTCGCCGAGATCCGGCCAAGACCGCCGAAGATTGCGGCGGCTGAGTTCCGATTGCACGATGTGGTGGACGCGTTTGATAACGACGGGTGGTGGGTCGGAAGGATTACGGGACGAAACAGCGACGGGGATTACTTTGTGTACTTCGATACCACCGGCGATGAAATTGCTTACCCCCTAAATCGAATTAGGGTTCATCGAGATTGGGTGAATGGGAAGTGGGTACTTTTGTGAATTGTGATTGATTTCATGCAATTTGTGATCCGTTATATATCTAGCTAGGGATCAATTTTTCATATTTTTGTTTATATTTTCTGTCTTCATCAATAAAATTGTTATATAAAAGATGTTATTTTGGTACATTTTTTTATAATTACTATCATGCCCTCAATTACGAAAAAATCTTTGTTGTATTTGGATAGTTACAACCATCCATTCAATTATGTATTATCTCATAGAAAAATTCTTTCTTAGTAGTTAAATTTGACACCCCGTCATTTAATACATACATATATGATATATACATGTCAATAAACTGGAAAAAGAGAACTTCTAAGCAATATTTTTCTTCAAATAAAAAATTTCAATTTTGCAACAGAAATTGGACAACCTTAAAATCTTGCAGAGGTAGATGTTCAAAACTACGGTTGAAAGTAAAGAACTCGAAATCGGTTGAAAGTAAAGAACTCGAAAACGGACGTGCTCGATTTTCCGGGATGTAATTTCACCATCTACATTTCAAGGTTGTCACAAAAAATACCAATAAAAACGTCAAATACATTTCAAATCGATACCGTTTATTTGAGCTGCAGAGACCCTTCTCTGTTTTCCCCTTTATCTCACTCAATTCATTTTCTTCTTCGAAAATTTTCCGAGTCCCGGAAGAATAAAAGGTCTGCATAGGAGCAAAACGAACATCATCTCACAAACAAAAACCGTAAATCCGATCCAAACGAAAACCGTTCTTCTCCAACTCCAAACAATTCTTTTCAAAGGTGGAAGACGAGATTTAATATCCATCGATGCGGAATAGATTTCAGGCACACCGGACCCCGTTTTGAACTCCGCCCTCGGCTCGAGAATCACCTTAAAACTCGATGTGGGCTCGTGTCCTTCCGCAAATTCTCCAATCACAATTTTCAAATATTGGACTTCGGATTGAAATCCGGTTATAAGTGGAACGCTCTTGAATAAGCTTTCGGCAAATCTGATTGGCTGGCTCTTGAAACGTAGCATCGTTGGATAACTCGATCCGAACGTCGGCTTACCGTTTGCAGAAAGGCTCTCTACTCTTACCTTCATAAATAAATAAAACATGAAAATAATTAATACAATAGGGAATAAAATACAAAACGAAAAAAATGAAGAAACTGATTAATTAGTAGGGTTATTTGCATTTGGCACCCTATGTTTTCTCTAATTGTCAAAAAACCCTCCTACAATTTAAGTTTTTAAGGGGTTGTGTGTTAAAATTATACATAATAAAGGGGGATTTTGTTAATATTTATAACGCGGCGAGTTTTTTAGCAATTCGATATAACACAGTATAATAAATGCAATAAATTCCCGAATAGTATTATTACCTGAAAAATCCCGAGTTTTCTGTTGTAATCAGATTCGGGCAATGTGAAGGAGATAGTAAGCTGCATTTTATGATCGAAAGGGATAGTGCGCTTGAGCATACTTTCTTCGGGAGATGAAGCTAATTTCACCAACGCAAAAGGGCTCGTTTTCGTGTAATCAAAGTTCAAGTTTTCGGTTCGAAGTATTGGCTCTTCGGTCAAATTTCTCATCACAAGACCACTTGCTAAAAATCCCAAAACCAACAACCCCAAGAGCACTAAAAACACATAGAACGAGCAGAAGAGCCCTTTACCAAATCTTATCGCCATTTTCATAACCGACCTCGGCGAATTAACCCTATTCCACACGAACGAAGCCACCCTCGCGTACAAAGCGCCGCATGCTCTCATCATCCCTTTCTTGACATCATCTCGGATCCGCGTTAGCGTACGAAAAGGGAACATCATAAGCATTAGCCAAAAGTGGAACACGCGAATGGGGAAAATCAAGAACCTGAAAAACAGGCGTATTTGAAAACCGACGAAATCGAGCGCCATCACCGTGAAAAAATCAACGATGTCGAAAGGGAAGTTCGCGAGTGTCGAGATGCACGCGGCGCTATTGTTGTTACGAGGAATGTATTTCATATCTTCGTTTTCTTCGCCGTCGTCGTCTTCGTAATCTTGATGAGGAGGAAGAAAAGTGGTTAGTAGCGCGGGGGAGTTTCGAGACATTAGCAACTTTTCGGCTCCGAGGAGTAGAGAGTGTTTGATCAAGTTGGAAAGAGAGTTTTGTGGGGTGATGAATTGAAGATCTTCTTTGCAATTGCAAAAGTCGTGGTTGTCATGATCTTGAACAAGCGTGTATTCCATTTGATGAAATGATTATTAGGGTTTGGTATAGTTTTTGAAAGAAAAATAGTGGTTTTTTTTTCTTGAGAGAAAATTGGTATTAATTGATGGTTGAGTAGTAAGTTCACTCAATTTGCACCTAAGAGGGTTTTTTATTTAATGTTTTTTTTTTCTTATTGGGATGCTAAATACAAGTGGATTGTTTATAAATTGGCTGCAGAACCAACCATTTTTTTCTTTTATTCTTTCAAAAAAATAATAATAATAAAACAAAAAAAATATTGGGTGAAAGTTTCTCAACATCATATATAAAATTATGTAGTCACAAGCTAGTAGTAATGACGATTTTAATTATTTCACAATAATAACATGCACACATCAATCTTCTAATTATCGGCGTAGAGCTGGTATTGAGTTGGGTTTTGTCCAGCAACCAATATTATCGATTATATTTTTAGATAAATAATAAGTTTTTAACCAGTATATTGGATTAAGTCGGAAATTTCAACAAATACATCTATACTTGGTCGGTATATAGTTCTAATATCATCAAAAGTTGATTGGTCGACAATTATTGGTCAGCCAACTAACTATATTAATAAAAATTTACAAAAATATTATTTTAATTTCTATTTTTTTCAAAATTAATTTCTAAATTAAGTGTGTGATTTTGTAAGTGGTTATTGGCACTACCAATATAGTTAGTATTTTAATTTAAAAATCAACAAAGAAAACAAGTTGACATAAATATTCGACCAATTACATTATGTATTTATGGCTTTATGCCTAAGCTGCCTTCTAAAAAAAAGAATTCTTAAAAATTCCATCAATTGCTGAATTGTATTTTTTTTCGAGTTGCTATTAATTATTTTGAAATAATAATTAATGATAGTGCGATGACATGAATAATAACATGAATATTTTTACTCCAAATTTTTGGAATTTTTTTAAAGTAAACTAGGTGGTGCGGCTGTATTCGGTTGTCAACCAACAACCATCCATAATGATTTGATCGGCACTGGCCGGGTTTTATTTAAAGCAAAATTAGTTGGTTAGAAAGAACGGTTTTTAGGCCGGTAATTAACAGATCCAACTGAATCCCAGTCCTAATTAATAGTATATTCCAATTCCAAGTTCCTAAATTAATGAGGACAAACATAAACGTAAGTAAAAGTGGTAATTGTGTTTCGGGTGTTGAAATTTAATGTATAATGTTGTCAGATTTTAAGGATAAGTTATCCAGCAGAATAACACACATCTCAATAAATTCCAGCTGGAATTTAATTTAATCTGAATTGGGATGAAAATGATGGGCTATTATTCCCAGTGTGGGTATTTCTTTTTCATCAGAAGGGGCATGTGGATTGGCACGCAATCCCGAGTTTTATCAATTTCATCCTATCTTTTAAACTAACTTATAAGAAAATCCTCATATAATAGTGGGCAAATTATGGCTACCCCGGGTATGGACAAATTACGAAAAATACCATTTTGTTTGGGTAATTACAGTTACACATCATTTTATATATTTTTACATAAAATTTATGTAATTAAGTTATTTACGGAACCACATTGTATATTCAGCTCGGTAAATGGCATGAATATTGGCGTACCGAAATTTCGGTTCGATTTTACTCATTTCACGTCCCAAAATTTACCTCTTAAGGAGTTTTTTCGTGAAATAATACATAGTTGAGGGCAGGGACGGAGCTACGTGTTGTCATGGATGGGCTCCAGCCCACCAAAACTCTTTTTTTTTATACGTTATTTTAATGGGGCTCTTTGAGAAAACCCCCTCACTATTTTTTTTAATTGAGGGAGGCCCAAAATATTTTAGTTCATTTGAGAAAAATCCACACCCATTTTGAGCTATTATATTTTCCAGCTTTACCCCCGCCCGCCACCTCATCATTGGGTCAGCGCTCCAGGATTTTTTTTTTTTTTCTTTTTTTTTTTCCGTTTTTTTAATCGACTATGAAGCATAGTCGATTAGTCTTAAATCGACTATGCTTCATAGTCGATTAAGAAAAATCTTTAATTTTTTAATTTTTTTTTTGTTTTTAATTTTGTTTTTAAACTTTTTTTGGTTTTTTTAATTTTTTTCTTTATCAGATTTATTAATGCATAGTCGATTAAAATTTTAGCTATTAAAATAACAAATCACAATTACAAAAAAAATACAAAATCAATTATATTTAAAAAAATACAAACATTGTAATTGATTTATGCATTGGAATCAATAAAAAAAATCAAAAAAAAATAAAAAATTAACAACTAGAGTCGGTTAACTTTAATCGACTACTGAACATAGTCGATTAAGCCTTAATCGACTATTGAACATAGTCGATTAAGCCTTAATCGACTACTGAACATAGTCCATTAAGCCTTAATGCTCTTCTGCCACATTCCCACCAACCCAACATCCAAAAACCGCCGCCATAACCATCACTACCACACACATACGCCACCGCCAGCAGACCCATCGCAATCTTCCACCCAAAATCACCGCCGGTAGCAGACCCGTTGCTCAGAGACGAGCCTTGTGGAGTGTAGAAATTTGTATCGTGGTAGAAATTTGTATTGTGGGTTCGGTGAGAGTACTGTGTTGCGTAATTTTGCCTAGCGATCTTTAAATATCTATTGTAACGTACACTACACACTTAGGCCGGCAATCACCACTGTGCTTGACTTTGACGAGAGAAGAAGGCTACACTGTGAATCGTGGATTGCACACAGTGACCTCACCATCCTCGCCGCGTTCGGGCCTTCACCGCGGATCCCGTACAGGAAGTGGAACCCAAACGGCCGGAAAACCTCCGGCACCGACGGCAGGCGGAGCCACGGCAGTGCCCGGTCCACCGCCCGCGTGGTCCTCGCCAGGGCCCTCCTCACGCGCGACGCGCCGCGCACCTCGAGCGTGTACACGTCTTCGCTGTTCCACACGCTGAGCACGGCCCACGACTCGGGCTGACTCGCCAGAAACTCGTCCGCGCCCGGCCACGACCCGGCGGCGGCGCCGTAGGGTGACCCCTTCGGCACGGCGAGGAAAGTGCCCAGGTTCAGCTTGTTTTTCAGCACGGCGTCGATGTCGCGCGGGAAGAACTCTGTGGCGGAGAAGCGGCGGCGGTAGAGGGCCTCCGCGTCGGCGGCGCCGAGTTTGATGTGGGGGCTGGGTATGTAACGACATGGGTTAGGAGTAATAAGGGTGGTTTGGGAATTATTAAATAATATTTGGTTAGAATATTAGGTAAGGGGGTTTTCTCTAATTATTTTTGGAAAGGGGGTTTTTCTTAACTCATTTACCTAGATGAGGGGGGTCTTGCTAATTATCCCTATTTTAATACTAATTTATTTTCATTAATTTTATACGTTACTATTTTAATACAAATCCAATTTAATTAGTCCAACCAACTGATTTCTGATATAGTTTAAAGAGCTCCACTAGTTATATTTGGGACAACATACAGTATAGTTTATACAATTCAATTAAAATATACATTTTTTTGTTAAATTTGTGCCTTTTTTATGCATTGTTCTGTGGAAAAAAATCAGGGACGCTGCCCCCGAACCCCGTAAATATTTAGCCCACCCTTATAGCAAATTTTGGTTCAGCCACTGATTGAGGGATGGTCGTAATTACCCAAACAAGAGGGCGTTTTTGTAATTTGACCATAACTTAGGGGATGACCGTAATTTGCCCTAGATAATTATGTGGCTCTTGCAAAGAGTACTGAGAATGCAAGAAAAAGCAAGCTTTGGTTTGCCAAACTCTTGCAAAAACACAAGTTGTGTGTCCGGATTTCATGGGCACACAACTGTTAAGGCATGCATTGTTCTGATGAGATATATCGAATAGTTTTAGGCTACACACAATCACATACAACATTCCAAAAATGAAGAAAATAATGATTTAAACATATGACATTAAAGAAAATAGGGTGGGAAATAGGAAATTAAAAAAGAAAAGAAATAGATGCAACGATTATGATCGTAGTAGCCGAGATTAAGTGTGTAAGTAATTATCAATACGTGGTTAGAGTTTCTTAAGTCGCCCTAATTAACGGTTTTCGTCTTTTATAAATGTATAGATATTATTCTTCAAATTTCAAAAAAAAAAATTAAATAAAAAAATAAATCTTCATTACCTTTCTCATATTACATATTAGTACAATCTAAGCTCTCTATTTGTCTCCCATAACATCAACACTTGAAGGTAAAAATAAAATAATAATTCACCAGAATCTATACATACACCAATCATATCAACATCTTCACAAGTATGCATCAATAACAAACCAATAACTAAATCAAATCAAATCAAATTCAAATTTACAAAAAACTCTAAAAAATCAAGGAATAAGCCTACTTGTTGAAGAATGATCACGACTCTCGTCAATAGATACCGAAGAATCGACCCACGGCCCATCCAAAGAGACACCTCTTTGTTCCCGACTACTATCCTCCTCGGACGACATGATAGTCGACGCACGCGTTTGGCTATCCTGCGACAATATTTCAAACGCCTTAAACCTCATCTCCTCGTTAGCGGTGTTCCCATGCTTGACAACTGGCGCTTGAACGGGGATTTTGCCCTCGAGCATGCTCACCACCGAAGACATTGAAGGTCTTAGAGTTGGCGAGGGATTAGCACACAAGAGAGCCAAGTTTAGCATTCGCAACGCCTCTTTCTTTGAGTAGTTTGTGCCTAGAATTGGATCGACGAGTTCTAGAAGATTCCCTTGCTCGTGTAGAACGTAAGCCTTCAAGAAAAAAAAAAAAAAAAAAAAAAAAAAAAAAAGAGGATTATAATCTTATGCAGACAAGTTTAATTTAATAAATAAAGACTCCATCAAATTAAAATATGTAGTAACTTTGGACAATTTTGGTAATGTTTTGGGAGATTCGTAGTTTAAAACTCCATCAAATTAAAATTTAGGGATTAATTGAAAATTAATGTTTCCACGACAAATTAAAGACAACGAGGACATATTGAATAAAAGATGGTAACCGATGAAATTTAGGGATGGCATATGTTATAACTGAAATATTCAACGTCGTTTCAAGTTTACTCGTTTCGACTTGAAATGTGATTTTGACAAATTTTCCATCCGAATTTGGCAAAAATCAAAACATCAAATATGTAGTCCTTTGATTTGTCTTTCTAATACAACTTGAATCAGCTAGATTGGATGTCGGGTGAGAGAATTACGCATATGAGATAGAGTCCGAATCTCATAAGAATCAATTAGCCAATGTTAATTCATTAATGCATATCTCACTCATCCGACGTCCAGTCCAACTGATTCAAGTTGTATTAGAAAGCTACCTCAAAGGACTAAAAAATTCGTGCTTTAAATTTTGTCAAATTCAGACCGGAAAATGGTCAAAATCACATTTGAAGTCAAAATTGTACCAATTAAAATTGAAACGATAAGTGAATTAAAGAAGCTTACCCAATCAAGAAGGTAAACAAACTCCTCTTTCGGCCTATAATTAGTGTTACTTTTTCCACTGACGATTTCCAATGCAACAATCCCGAAACTGTACACATCTGCTTTGTCCGTCAAATATCCCCTCATAGCATACTCCGGAGCCATATAACCTCTACAAAAAAACGGAACGGTAAATAACGAAAACTTGCCACTTTTGTTACGCGGAACTATATATATATACGAAGACGACGTATATAGGAAATATTCTTACATAGTTCCAGCAATTCGTGTGCTAATATGCGTATTCTCTTCTTCGTCAAGCTTAGCCAAACCAAAGTCGGATATCTTCGCATTCAAATCTTTATCCAAAAGAACGTTTGTAGCTTTTATATCTCTATGCACAATCTTCAGCCTCGATTCCTCGTGCAGATAAGCAAGCCCTTTAGCTATTCCTATACATATCTTGTTTCTCGTCGGCCAATCAAGGTTCAATCTTTGGTCATCGCGACCTAAACAAAGAAACGGGAACATATAAGAATTCGACATTTAACTGATTTTTTTTAAAGAAATAAAAAAAAAGGGAAGTATTTACCGAAAAGTGCTCGAGCGAGAGAATTGTTCACGAGGTACTCGTAAATTAAGAGCAACTGATTTCCTTCAATACAACAGCCGAATAGTCGAACGAGGTTGTGATGTTGCAAGGCGGATATCATGCCTATCTCAGTCACAAATTCTCGATTTCCTTGTTTCGACTTAGACGATAGCTGCTTAACTGCGATTACTGTACCATCTGTGAGAACACCCTAAAAAGAAAATAATAATATAATTAATCGGAGAAATGCTACGTTTTATCTTACGTAAAAAAAAAATTAATATTTCCGTACCTTGTAGACGGGTCCGAAACCTCCTTCGCCAATTTTATTAGCAATGTCGAAATTATTTGTAGCAGCTTTTATCTGTCTTAGAGTAAAATAGCCCGTTTGTAGATCAAGTGCTCGAAGTTCTGTAATAAAGAGATCGAACAAAAAATAATTTAGTAACGGAGGAAATAATTTTCAAGTGCACTAAAAATGTTTTTTTTTTTTACCTTTATCTTCAAGATCTTTTTTACAAATACACCCTCCGAACCAAAGACCAGCTAAAACGAACAGCAACAAAACCACGACCGAAGAAACGACAATTCCAACAATAGCTCCAACAGATAGCCCACTTCCAGTACTAACCTTAAAATCTGAAAATAAAGACATAAATACCATGATTAGGCTCTGCTGTAATAAAT